CATCATTGTCGCTATCTCCTTCTTACACGCCACCACTAACCATCGCCACAAACTACCTCCCAAATTCTCTGTCGTCTTTGCGGTACTTGAAAGTTTAGATGCAATTTAGATCTTGTTTTCACAAAAATCCAACGAGGATTTCTCTCCCTTTAGTTTTGAATGGGAAACGGAAAAAGGAGGAGGATGGCGATAGTGGCCGGTAGGGAAAAGGATGTGATTGTGATCGTATAAGTAGGAGGAGGACGTGGTGGTGTATGTAGAAGGAGGAGGTCGTGTTGGTGGTTATGACGACGTGGTAGTGGTGGGCGACAATGGTGGGCCATGTGGGTTTCAATTTGGGATGTCAACAGTGGTGGTGCTTAGTGGTGGTGATCGGTGACAGTTGTGAAGATTGATGATAGTAGTGGTGTTTGGTTATGTTTGTGTTTGTTGTGTGTCTAATAAAAAGTTTATAAGAATATTAAAAAAAAAAAAAAGGTAATAATATATTTGGAATTCAAAATATTCGCTTTGTTGTTGGCATAATTTTCCCTACAAATTATTTTGTTCGTTTGGTTAAGCTTTTAAGTGATTATAAGCAGCTAATCTCAAAGAAATTATGGTTAGAATTTAAAAGTAGATAAAAATTGTATGGTCCTATAGAATTCATGATTAAAAATCATACTTATCCAACATATTAGCATTTAAAAGCATTGCCAAGAATAACAAAATTATGCTCCTATTTGATTGAAATTAAAATAAAATTTTCAGTAGATTTTGATCAAAGTTAATAAAATGTGTAATTGAAAAGTTGTGAATCCCATAAAATATATGGTTAAAATTAACTATGATTTTGATTTAGATTAAAATCGGGATTTTGATTTCCACCAAACAAGGGTTATATATGAGAAATTAGATTGTGGATTTTTTTTTATTATTTTTAACTTGTAGATTTGGAAATTCAGGTCATATAATATATTCTTGATTTACCCTTTTTTATTATTTATTTCCAAATATTCAAGATTGTATACCATATCCACCAAAACCCGCCAAGCCAAATGGAAATGTTCAACCAAATAGCATTACTTTTTACAGAATCCTCAAAAATACAGTGTTCATGAAAAACTTCTTCCACGCCTCATTTGAATCACATTAATATAAGAATGAGAATGAAAAATATAACCGTTACGACCCCACAAAAGAGATAGAAAATCAAATATAGTGATTTGATGTGATGAATGATGATTATATTTTTCATGTTAATGGACAAATAATGGGAAACAAACAGGGGCTTAAAATAGAGTGAAAAATAAAACTATGCCCTAGTCCTTTCAAAAAAAATCACAAACATAAAATCGATATTTCATTATAGGGTTAATTACACCAATTTTGAGTAAGTATTCAAGTGGTAATTAAACTAGTGCTTGTTTGGTAGGGATTTTGATAGTTGATTTTTTGACCGTTAGAAATAAAATGGGTCCTACTCGTGAGAAAAGAATTAAAAATGACGGTTGAAATAGTGAAATAACGGTCAAAAAATTAATTTTAATTTGATTAAAATTCCTATCAAACATGCTCTAAGTTTTTTATGCCAATAGTTACAACAGCGTAATAAAATAACTTATACTTGCTTAAAATATAGCGATTGTAGACATAATTAACCCTTCATATTATGGACAAATGAAAATCACAATTTTCGTCAATAATGAATTCAATAAATTCGATCATCATCATATGCACAATCTTACTCAAAGCAAATTTCTAATTAAGAATATTTGTCTCAATAGTCACAATATTTGTGAATGTTGAGTTTTCAATTTTTTCCATACCGCGCCTATCTTTATTTCTGTCATAACTTTGCCCTCGTACAGCCCCCATTTTTTTAAATGGAAATGGGTGGAATATTCTTCTTTTTTTTAAATGAGTGGTTGAAAAATAAGAAAATAAGAAAAATTGTGGTTGAAAATAGAAAAGAAAAAAATGAAATATAATAGAATGGGGGCCAAATTAGAGCTGGGCAAATCTCCCGAACCGAACCCGACAGTTCTTGTCAAATTAAATACCCGAACGGGTATCTGAATTGAGAACCGACGGGTACGGTTCGGTTCTTGATTCTAGACCAAGAACCGAAAAATCGAATCTTTCTAATTTTTTTTTATATTGAGTAAATCAAATTATTTTAATTTTAATTTTTTCTAGACAAATTAACAATTTCTAAATCCAAATTTTTGGCTCAATAATTTGTTTCATTTCTAATTTTTAAATTTTTGGCCCAATTACCCATGTTATTGTTTCATTTCTTAGCCCAACAAGATCTAATCTACTAAATAACCATAAACACCTACACTAAAGTGCATAACGTTGTCTCGAATCTCATACTCACTCTCGCAGCCTCGCTAATATTCCAAAACCAATACAATCGTCGGTCGACACTATGACCTCCGATCGAAGCTATGACCTCCGTCGATCGAAACTTTGACCATAGCGATCATTTGAACAACGTAGTTTACTAGTATCTAATATTCCAAAACCATTGAATGTATCATTAGTTATATTTAAATAATGTTGTTATAAATGTTAAAAAAATTAATTATAGTACAGAATCGAACGGAACCGAATCGAACCGAACCGAACTGAACCCGAACCCGAACCCGAACCCGAACCCGAACGGTTCCATAATTATATTTGGACCCAACGGTTCCATTTACTAGATACCCGAAAATTTTGATTTGGTTCGATTCTCTTTAGAATCAAATCGAACCGATCTAACCCGCGCCCACCCCTAGGGGCGAATCTTTTTGTTGCTTCTTGGAGAAGATCAGGAAATTGTGATTTTGATATGCATGGAAACGTTAATTGATTGATGTTAATGTAGGTCTTGGAATTGGAGATAGAACATTATATCATAATCACAATCATAATTACATGCCACTATTTTGGTTGACTAATTCTCATTTTTTCATTTTTTATTTTAAAAACCCATCTAATCCCTGATTTCTCCAAAATTTTGGTTTATTACTAATTTATCAATTCTTGTATTTTAAACTCTTTAGTCACCATTTTTTCCCATTATATATTAGTGGTATATAAAAATAGAAGGGGGAAAGAATGAGAAAATTGAAGTGGAAGTCTCTAATCTATGACCATTATGGTAAGTTAGTTCTTAATTTTTAATCTTTAACATTTACACCCTTCATCTTCCAAATTTATAGTATCTTGGCCATCCATCATTAGGGATGAAATAAATTCCCCACCCTCGACCCTCCTCTTATTGCCTTGAATTCTTTGAAACTCGCTCTAAATCTTTCTACTTTATTTATTTTTATTGTTTCAATTTAAATTGTATTAACATAATACAATTAAATGAGACAGTAAATAGGAATTTCTTAATCCTGTTCTGCTTCTTGAAAATCCCAAACAAAGAGAGAATGGTAATAACTCCTAGAAATCCTACTAAATAAACGTCTTATTTAGGCCCCGTTTGGTAGGGATTTTTTGCCCTAAAAAATTAATTTTTTAACCGTTATTTTACTATTCAAGTTATAATTTTTGATTTCTTCTCTCACATGTGGACCCCACTTTTTTTCTAACAGTCAAAAAATCAATTCTCAAAATTCCTACCAAACGGGCCCTTAATATAAAATGTTACATGATCTTCAATCAATTATTTGCTTCATATGCTTACATGGAGTAAGTGCTATACCCTATTCCTAATACACAAGTACTTGATAGGGCCTGTTTGGGCACTATTTTTTCATCGAAAAAATTGATTTTTTAACCGTTATTTTACTATTTCAGCTGTCATATTTGACTACTTCTATCACATGTGGACCGCACTTTTCTCCTAAAGGTCAAAAAATCAATTCTCAAAATCACTCCCAAACAAGCAAAAAATCAATTATTCTTGATTTCAAAATCTCCATGATGAATGGCATGTTCTCTTGAATCAAAATAGGAAGCTAGGTTAATTTCTTCGTTTAGAACTGCACTTGAGAGTTTCCTATCTCATAAGACTTAGCAATCGTTTGGTGCATCTCATTACCATCTCTATATAGCATGTGGTTCTTGTCTATTTTTTTCAAGTCAATTTTTATTAAAAATAATTATATTCTTACTAAAAACTTAATTTAGATATAAATCTGTGTAAATAAAATAAAACAAAGAAAGAAAAGAATATCTCGCGCGCGTGTGTGTGTGTGAAAGCTTAGAATGAAGATTGGGGGACCTAGAACTTGTCCTCTTTGTGGCTAAGCCTAAAGGAGGGGAGAAAAAAACAAAAAAAAACAAAAAACCAAAAACTTTTAAGCTTAGTCAAACGCAAATAGAAGTTTGCAAAGTTACTTTTTAAGTAACTTTTATTAAAAAAAGGGGGGGGGGGCGAGGGGGGGGTTTTTTTTTCCTTCAACAAAATATACACGAAAATTTGCTTATGGTTAATTATATAAATTATTGTCAAACTTTAAAGTTAGTTTCAATTATACCACAAGTATACTCAACTGACCATTTTTTATTTTTTTTGTACAAAAATCATATATTAAAATTTTGTTTATTTATTGATATAACCCGACACGTGTGATATTTTCATCCACTTGAATTAATTGCTAAAACATGTACAAACATTTTTTCATCTTTCAAGTGACAAACGCTTTTTATCATCCTGAATTGCTAAAACGGTGGACTAATTGATCAAACACGACAATATTAACGTGACGAGTTACATCAAAACGTTAATCCCACGCTTGTCTTTTTTTTTCTGATAGTAAGATAGCTGAATAATATAGTTATATAACTGAAACAAGATTTAAACTTGGACAAGATAAATGCAATGATTCAAAGTTCATGGAGTATACATAAAGTTGAATAATATATATTAAACTTTTAAGGTAAGTTGTTACTTACGTTTTTGCTTTCAAGACTTTAGCCAAACGTCTCCTACTTTTAAGTAAGGTAAGTTTACTTTTTCCTCGTTGGGGGAATCAGTTTCTATAGCTTTAAGCATAAGCTACAGAAATTGGACCATTTCTATATACTTTCTTCATATATCTGTCATATCATAACACTCTCTCTCTAAAACACTCTCTCTTCTCTCTCTCTACAGCAAACATGCACAGACAGTCACTTGGCTCACCAGCTTCAAAGCTTCATCTCCAGATACTCAAAGATGAATCTTTGGCTTCTGAATCCCAAAACCTAATCACAGAGGAAAAATCACAGCACAAAACCCTGAAACTCAATCCCAAATCTCCTGAGAAATACATTCACTTTATTCCCATATTAACACTCTTTTGCTTCCTCATTCTTTATCTCACATCCCACAACCCTTCTCCAAATGGTAAGCAATTTTATTAGCTTTTCTGAGTTTTTCACTTCTTTTTTTCTTCATCTTTTGCTTATTTTCACCTTTACTACTTTTTGCTGTGTTTTTGGGTGCAGATTTGGCTCAGTTCAAGCATTTCCCAAAGTCCACAGGTACAATAACTCAGTTACTTCCTGATATAGCATTGACAGCATTTCTTGCTATATATTGCAATTAATTTGGATTTCCATTTGGTTAAGCTCAGAATTGTAATAAAGATTTAGTAATTCTTCTTCTTTTTTGGGTTGTGAAGGTTCAGAAGATGAGATTGAAACGATTTTGAAGATTAAAAACGGCGATATATTGGCGATCCGGAGCTTAAAGAACCTGGAGGAGAATGGAAACAAGAAAAATCGGCTCCACAGAAAAATCGCCGATTTTTAGTGCCGGTTATCTGCTTGTTTCTCTCTCTCGTCTATAAATAAATTGTCGGTGAGAGTTGGCACGTGTGGGCTGCTCTTATAATTAATTTTTTTCTTTATTTTCAATTTTAGTGCTGAATTATTTCTCTCTGTTTGACAGTTTTCAACGTTGTAAATGAAAGTCAACATATACGTTGTTTAATTTTGTATGTATTTTGTACACTGTTTAAAGAATGTATGAATTAAAAAGAAAAATTATTTTATTAAAGAAATATAAATAAAAAATAAATAAATTAAAAGATTGAAAAACAGAGGGCACAGCACAGGTGTAAAGGGGAAAAGTATTAAAGGGTGTCAGTGTCTGTAGGGTGGGTGAATGAATTGGGAAAAGAAATCAATGGATGACAACTGGAAATGGAAATACGATAATTTCTTTTAATTATTTCAACATAATTTTTCCATAGTTAATAAGGCTAGCTGGAAGGGATGGTCCACTTGACAATAATGAGCGATATTTTATTTTTCTTTTTTTATTATTTCTCCTTTTTTTTAATATCGTTATCCTTGATTATCGACAACTATCACTCAATATGATTCATTTGAGTTATGTTACACAAATAGGGTTGATGGCAGAATTTAAAAATAGGGGAATACGTGTCAAAATTTCATTGGGCAGTTGGAAAAAAAAAAAAAAAAAAAAGAGAGAGGAGCCACACAAGTGCTGCTAACACTGCAACTGTCACCAAGCTCGTCCAAATAGTATAACTCTTCACATTTTAGAGCATCTACAGGCTTCAACAATGGTGTAAAATAGAGATTTAAATATTTAGAGTAGTATGAGACCTTTTCCAATGAAAATATGCAAATTACATTTTACAGCAAGAATATACATATAAGAGACAAAAAAAACTAATATAGGCCCCTGTTTGAGCCCCATTTTTACCTCATTAAAATGAAAAATATGACCGTTATCCATCACATCAAGCCACTATTTTTGAATTTCTATCTCTGGTGTGGGACCCATAACGGCTCTATTTCTCATTCTCATTATAATGTGCCTCAACAGGCTCTAGATTTTTTTTATTGCAGCAAAATTTGAATTTAGATTTATCAGGATGGAAAAGTAATTTTGAAGATCATTGAAGATAGAACCGTGTTAGCCTTACATAACCAGGCTATTGCAAGGCACACACATTCGTGGGGCTCACGTAATTTTTAATTTTTTTAATGTATGTGGAGCCCCTACATAGTGAGGGGCCCTGTACGTAGGGCATTTCTCTTGAAGATAATCTCACCTATCGATTTCAAATTTCAACGTAACTTCCCATGCGAAGAGAAATCAAGATCATAAAACATTTTCTTGAGTTACAAGTTATCAAATGAAAAATAAGATAATACTAATAAAATAAAAAGTTAATAATTGAAAGAATGATGTAACCCAAATGAATCACTAAATAAACAAACCAACAAACCAACTAATACGTTATCCAATCCTAGTCTAATCAATAAAAACCCAAGTGGTCCCTCAAAATAAAATTAAATAAAAACACCAATTTATAGGACTAAATTGAATAAATAACGATAGTAGGAGGGCTCACAATCAAATTAATATATGAAAAGGTGGAGCCGTCATGAATAAATGTCAACCAAAATGTGTCTCGTGAATGAGAATAAGAATTGACAGGCACAGGCTGTAGTTTTTTGTATTTATACTATTTTCAGTTAGCAGCACGTGCCTCGCTCGTGACTCAATCTTGTTCGAATTGGACACTGTAAAAGGTAATAGCCAAAGTCATTTGTGCAGAGGAGGGGTTCACGGAACTCTTCCAGAACAGACACATGAGGTTGGTTCCACGCTAGACCCATGGATAATAAAAAATTAAATGCGGACCCCCTCCCTTGTATGTATTATGTAAGACCTCCGTGAAGCCTTATTCTATCGCATAGTGGAGTTCAAGATAATACGCTGTCTATGCACCAAATATTTTACATTAGACAAGTGCCAAAACTAGTCGGCCAAGCCAATAACGAGTTCCACTCGTCTCATTGTCATTCCTATAGAAACATACTAATAAGACGGAAACGACAATTGAATAGTTATATTAGACACATAGCAATAGTGAAAATTTGAAGTAAGCGATCTTTTTCTTTGGCATATGAAGTGAATGATTAAGGTTTTTGTAAAGGGAAAAGATTGAAGTCCTATTTAGAGTCAATGAATTTGTTACCTTACCAGTTCTTTGATTTTGAAGGTAGATTATGTTTTGTCTTAAATGTTTGTTATGTTTGTGTCACATCTCCGCATCCTAGTAGTTATCACTTTACTCAAGTGTAAATCGATCTAATATCAAGCTTAATAATTTCTAGTTTGTGACAACATTAATTCAACTTGACATTTTTATGTCATGGAGACTTATTTAAGCTATTCTGTGTTACTTCCGTATCTTGTTAGTGTTATCATGTCAACAATCATCGTAGAACTATAGTCAAAAAAGAATTTCTAGGTTTGGGACTATGGGTCTGTTCGGTAATGATTATGAGAGTTGATTTTTTGACTGTTAGAAAGAAAATAAATCCTACTTGTTAGCAAAGAATTCAAAAATGATGGTTCGAATAGTGAAATAACGGTCAAAAAATTGATTTTTTGAGATGAAAAATTGTTACCAAATAGGGGCTTTCAAGGATTATTCGAACCAACACACTAAGTGCACATTGGTACGCACTAGTAGACAACATTGTACAGGATTAAACGACATCCTCATTTCATTAATATGCTAAAGAGACTCTCCATGTGCAACCTGCTGACTGACAAAAAGCCTTCACAAGAGTTACAACGACGTAGCTTCGATGAAAGCAGTCATAAAAGGTCTCTGTCAATGAATAAAGCCTAAAATCATTTTTCCAGTATGGCAATGCATTGTAATCAAAATAAAATTTTTGAGGTAAAATAATATAATCAATCAATCAATTTAATAGAATACATCAATTTGACACAATTTTATAGTTGCAAAAGAAATTCTAATATCACGAAATGCTTCTAAGCATATAAAGAAAACCAAACAACAAAGTTCTTCAATATCAGTGAGTAAACTTTCTGAGAAGTTCTCTGTTCTTGCCTTCCTTGATACCTAAGCTATATAGAAACTTTTCCATCAATCCAGAATGTGTAACATGTAAAAACTAAGAAGCACAGATTCTTGTAAACTCGTTCGTATGCGCACTCAATACGTATTCAAGCTTGAATATTCTTCGATATCTTTCGATACGTACTTTACACATGTTTTTAATTATTTTATATTTTTTTAATTTTTCAATATATATCGAATACGTATTATTAATTATCATATTTTTTAATTATTTATGATACGTATCCGATACGTTAAGACAGGTAAAGAAAATTTTTATTAGTGAGATTAATTCTATCCCTAATTAGTATAACATGGATTCATAAACCTAATGGTTATTTTATGGTTCACATGCATTTTTGCTTCAAAGCAGCAAATGCTTTGAAGCTTCTCCTATAACCTTCTTCATCTTGATTCTTGTATGAAAAGAAATTGGAGTACGTGCTCTTTGATGCACTCTATGAAAAGAAATAAAATAACTCTACAACGAGCTAAAGAATTGATTTTCATCAATGGAAATATGCGTCCTTTATCAAAATAATTAAGGCCCTATTTGGGAGCAAATTTGAGAATTGATTTTTTTACCATTAGGAGAAAAATGGGGGCTACCTGTAAGAGCAGAAGTCAAACTCTACGGTTGAAATAGTAAAATAACAATCAAAAACTCAATTTTTTTAGATGAAAAATCACTCTCAAACACCTTTTAAATCTCTATTAAAAAAAAGAAATCAAAATGTAGGACATTATTGAAGACTCATTTGATACTCTTAAAAGTATTGGACTTCTTAAAGTTGCTAATCTATCATTAAATGAGTCAAAGTTGGAAAGTATTATTTTAATGATAATGAAGAAACTGGCATTAATGTGTTGAACAAAATGAAGTTTGAACAAATAAGGATTAAAATAAAATGCTTGAACATTTTATTTTATTTTTATTATTATGTTTCTATTTTAGTATTATTTTTTTTTATATCAATCAAATTATGTTAAATTTTACAATACGTATCCGCGTATCCTAATTTCTTTTAAAAATTCCTATCGACGTACTCGTATCGTATTCGAATTACGTATCGTGCTTCTTAATACAAAAGTTTCATAAACTCCCCTCGTTTTTTTCTCTCTCCGTCTCTGTGTGATATATCTCATTCTTTTTCCACCAAATTCCTAAACTAATGCACAAAATCTGTAACGAGAATAGGGAGACCATTCAATATTTTCTATGCTTTTCAGAAATTCAGTTAAAACCTCCTAAATGGATAGGGATTCCAAGCATAATTGCCAAATGAAGTAATAAAGAGCACCAAGACGAGGTGTTGCAAACTAACGTGCAAGGTAGAACCCTATTTGAAAGGAGACAATTTAAGAATTATCCCCATACATTCTCCGACAAAATACACCAAGGGGAGTAAAAATTCTCCAAAACAACCAAAAAAGGCGCCGACGTAACCAAATTTTTGTAATCATAACCTCAGAAGGGACAGGAAATAGTCACCTCAAACAAAAGAAAAAAAGTAATTTGAATATATGTTCTTCGGGCAAACAAATTCATCCTGCAAATCGATTCAAGGAACCTTTTGCTTAATGTATATATCTAAGAGTACAACAAGAGAATGTATCAACGGATAACATAGCGAAGTACTCCAGATCCACCTCATTTTTTTACTAATTTGGTGAATTCAGAATTCAGGAATGTCACAATCAAATCATTTGAAGGTATTGAAAAGGGCAGCAACTCAGAGGATCAAACCTTGTGCTGGAGTAGGTTTGGAAGAATGCTGCTCCCTTAAATCTGAGGCTTTGGGAGACTCAGATAAATGAACTTGAGCAAAGTCATCGACCATTTTCCTTCTTTGTTCATCTTCAACCTTTCCCACTTTCTCTTTGGTCTTCTGGCCTACGTCCCCAGCTGCCTTAGTGACTTTGTTAAAAGCACCTGTCACCCAAGTAGTGCCAGTAAGTACATACCTATTCTTCATAATGGCAGATCCGGCATTACTGACAGTTTGCTCAGCAGCATTAAGTGCTGCCTTTGCTTTATCAGAAACGTGGAGTTTCTCATCTACTTCACGAACTTTATCGTTCACAACTGAAGTACCAACACTAATCTTTTCACTGAGCCCAATTTTTTTGTCAAAGGAAATGACTTTGGCACTTGCTGTTGAAGTCAATTGGTGCTTCTCATCAAAAGATTTTGCTTTATCAACCGATTCTTTACCTAAGATATAACCCTTCGCAAGCAAGCTGCTTACAACATCCTCTGCCTTTCGGAAAGCAGACTCTGCACTACCTACAGTTTTCTCATCTGTGGGCTGCATTTTTGGTAGTAAACAAGTTAAAAAAGGTTTCTACATGTTTAACCAAACAGAAGCTATATATAGAATTTCTTACCAGGAGTGGACCAGAAGCAGCAGGAGGAAGTATGTAATCTGGGTCCAGAGTTACGGTTACAGGCAAATCAACTATTGTTGCCCCCTGACATCAGAAGAAAAGAGATGCTTGCTATCAATGAAAATTGTTTGAGTGATATATACAAGAAGATTTCAGAATACCATTACATATTCCCTACCCTAAATTTATGAGTAGCAAGGGGAAAAAGGCACGTAGAGGTCATCTGCACAATTCATAGTGACAATAGACTCTTGCTTTGACCGCATCAACAAGAAAAAAAGAAGCATTGAACGAGTTCACAAAGAAACACCTCAAGTGTGGATGCCCTCATAGATGACTCAGTAGATCCGAACTTCACTTTCCCATTGGCAATTATTTCAAATTGCTCCCGCTAGAGTTCCCAGATAATTTTGAACTTACTCTCTATACTGCTCTTATCTAGTAAACCCATCCTAGGTTTTATTTACAAGAAAAAACCAAAAAGTGATAACAATACTCGTGCTTCGTATCTATAAAGAATTTAATTTTTTAAAATCTTAACAGTATCAAATAATTTCAACAGAATTTACAGCTGCATAGAGAACCTTTTAAGCACAGGGCAATAGGAGAAGAGATCAATTAATTCAGCCCCCTTCCTCTAATATAATACTTCGATACGTTTCGGATATATAATTGTAATTGACACAGATTTGGAAGAAGAATGGCATGGTGCTGATCATATCATTAAAATATTATGCAATTCCAAACTAACTCTTAAAAGTGAAGGATAGGAAATTAGAAAAATAAATAAATAAATAAATAAAACTACACAACACTTTGCATGGAGACTTTTCATCTACAAAACCAATTTTGCAATGGGTTCTTATCGATTTCTTGCAAACAGACCCGAAAAAGTGAGAAGGTCAGTGGTCAGAGGGTCGAACAGGGGTTAAACTGGTTTGAACCGGAAATAACATAATTAATTAAAAAAATTCATATATTAATATATATATATATATATAAAATTTTATATCAAGTAAGAGAGTATTTTCAAAATTCATTATTTAACTTTCAATAATTATTTTAATGCTCATTTCACATCAAATTAATACTAAAATGGCCAAAATGCAACTAAAATAAAACAAAAACTAAGCCCCCACTTGGCCTCCATTACATCTCATCAAATTAAATTAAATTTTTCTCTCTCCTATCTTCAACCACACAATCTTCAATAAAATAATATTATACGTAAATCGAAAATTTTTCATTCTTTTACAATCATCTATTTAAAAATAAATAAATAAAATAAAAAAGTTATTCCCCCATTATAATTAAAATTAATGGGGGGCAAAATGAGCCACACACTAAAGAAAACTAAATGTGCTCAAGTAAAGCTAAACCGTACAATCTAAACCATAACTCATCATCTCCTACCAACAAATTGAGAGCAAAGAACGACAGGTGCCTCTCTAATTTTTGTAGGTTCTTTTTTCATTCAAGTTTTCACATTTCTTCGCTATATCCTATTAAAATTTTATATCAAGTAAAAGAGTATTTTCAAAATTCATTATTTAACTTTCAATCATTATTTTAATACTCATTTCACATCAAATTAATACTAAAATAGCCAAAATGCAACTAAAATAAAACAAAAACTAAGCCCCCATTTGGCCTCCATTACATCTCATCAAATTAAATTAAATTTTTCTCTCTCCTATTTTCAACAACACAATCTTCAATAAAATAATATTACACGTAAGTCGAAAACTTTTCATTCTTTTACAATCATCTATTTAAAAATAAATAAATAAAATAAAAAAGCTATTCCCCCATTATAATCAAAATTAATGGGGGGCAAAATGAGCTACACACTAAAGAAAACTAAATGTGCTCAAGTAAAGCTAAACCGTACAATCTAAACCATACCTCATCATCTCCTACCAACAAATTGAGAGCAGAGAACGATAGGTGCCTCTCTAATTTTTGTAGGTTCTTTTTTCATTCAAGTTTTCACATTTCTTCGCAAATTTTTGTGTCCATATATTGCACTAGCGAGCCTAAGATAAATGGAAGCTAGATAAAAGATCAGTACCAGATTCTTCTTAACCTTTTTAAAGTTGTTTTTACTTCTCAAAAGCTACCGATAAACCCGATTAAACTGCAACAAGGTCACCGATATTCGACTGCCTGTCCAGTTTTCTGGTTTTTTAATCGTTTTTAGGCATACAGGCTATAAGTATCAATTCGACCAATTATCCATCTGATTCCTGATTTTTCCGATCAAACCGGCCGGTCCGATCCAATTTTTATAACATTGGTTCTTATAATCAAGATGAACCAAAATTGAAGCCATAACATCAAGCGTAATAGAAGAAAATGAATTCTCCCAATCCCTAGCACCTATGAAAACGACTTTGGAACCTTCATAGACGTGACAAAACCGCAGGATGTGTGGCAAAGCATGGCGGGCAAGCCAGCGAAATTGATGATGGAAAGCTTGGAGGATGATGGAAGTAAAAGCTTGGATTGTGTAGATGGAAGTAAAAGCTTGGATTGTGTAGTTGAGCCTATCTACTTGAACGTTTGTTTCGTAGAGCGTGATAAAGCATTGCAAAGAAAATCACAAAGGGGGGCATCTATGTTAGTTGCTTCGACATGTGTTAAGATGCTCCAACTAAGGGAGTTGTCCATCCGAAGAATCAATGCAAGGGGAGAGGGTGAAGGTTGGCGTCGAAGGTGATATGTACAAGTTAATGCAAGAAGAGGTGCAAGAGAACATAAACACGAGTCCATCATGGGGGCGGTGCCGCAATTGTGGAGAAATTTCGTACCCATTGGCCTGGAGGAAGAAGCAATGAAAAATTGTGCAAAGATGCCAAGCATATGGTCCGCTACGAGGGCGTTAGCGAATTGAGCGAGGTAGCGAGTGAGTCACGAAATGAGCACACTCCCCTACACATGTGGCACGGGCAAGATTGCTAATTGTGGATTTAAGAACAAAAACATCGAAAAATGCACTATCAATGTCAAATATGCACGTATGGCTGCAAGCTTCCTACCCTGAATATATTGTGCTTATATCTTATATCTCAACTTGTCGACCCATGTGTGTAAGAGGCTACCCTAGGGGGCTTTGGGAACTTGGGGGGCCAGACGAACAGACAGCTACATGCTGTGGTAGTTATACGAGATGAGCATGGTCAAAGCCTATATGAATGGTTTATCCTTTTTTCGCTTGATAAGTATTGAAATATAAAAACAATGGAAATCTTTAGAAATACATAGAAAACCTTGTTACACTTGGAAATAAGTGCCTTCTTTGCCTATAAAATTATATTCGATTTCGACATATTTAGGAGAAACATGATTATAAAATAATAGTTTTAAAAGCAAATTTTCAATGAGTTAATTGTTCAATAACTTCTTCATTTTTTTTTATTTTTTATTTTTTATTTTTTTTATCTAGAATGAGTTTCATAGAAAATATTGCTAGTTTCTCCATACATCTTATAAGGGTAATTGGCACAAAACCTCCTTGACCTTTACCACTATTGCGGAATACCCTCTATTCTTTTAGATTGGTGGAAAACTAGTTGACATTTTCCATACGGAAGACCCTCCTCACTTCCAAGTCCGTTAGCTAAGGCATTAAATAGGGCTAAAATAATTAGAAAAAAAGTAATTACAATTATGGTCCCAAATCTTCTTCTTTTTCATACTGTACCCAAACATTTCATTTGTACCACGTACAGTCCCAAATCTTTTAAGAAATTAATTTTTCATCTTCTTCCCCACCCCACCCCCAATCTTCTTCTTTCCCTTTAAGAACCCAACGTGAATTTCATTTTCAAATCTTGCCTTGTCAACTAAATTTCAATCCAATGCAAGCAGGAAGGTATAGATTGAAAACGGTCATTGTATAATCCCCTCCACACACACACCCTCCACATCAAATTTCTGTCTCACATCCTCAAAATAACAAACTCTTAACACATGCATCAGGGGAACGTGAGCCCTAACGCAAACGCAAATGAAAGAAAGTGAGGTTTACTGAATTGGATGCAACCCACCCGCCGGTTCTTCTTAACCCTGCTGATTGCGATATAGGTGAGTATCAATTTTTACTCCAATTGTCTTTTTTTCTTCAATATCGCATTTATTGAAGCCTTAGTTTTGACTGGTTGATATTTGGCTTAAGCATTTTTTCAAATTTTGTTGATATGTCTGTGTTACGAATTCCTTTTCCATCATGACGTGAAGGAAGGAACATTATATCTGTTTAAGTTTCTTTAGATAATTGATTCTTGTAGTCACCCTTCTGTGCACTGCAATTGATTAGCACTGAGCTAGTATGGAGTTGATAATTACTTCTAAAGGTCTATTTCATAACCGTATTTGAACATGTGATTTATCAGTTTTCTTGATCCATTTTAAGATCATTTACACCTCTTTAAACTGTAATCTAATTCTGCAATTACCGTTAAATGTCTAGTGTTGGCTGATTAAATGCCTCTGCTATTCCTAATTGGGACAAGAAGTTTTGTATGATGCATAATTTGATGCCAACCCTGATCTTTTTTGACATTTTTCTGTGTCTAGATTTTAATATTGAAGGAAATGGTCTGCAAGGCTCGGCCATTTATGAAGAGATATTCTCTTACTGTTGGTCTAGTGCTCAGGCCAACGTTGGAATCAAAACCTCACCCGGAATTTCATTTTTCAAGTCTTGCCTTGTCAACTATATTTAAGTGTTTGAAAGGAAAGAAGTTGTGGGGTGGGATGGGAGATTTGTGGAAGAGAAGATGAAAATTTAATTTCTTAAAAAGTTTAGGACTGTGATAACACAACTGAAAGGTACAATCTGCAAAATCAGAAAAGATTTGGGACTGTAGTTGCAATTATTATTATTATTATTTTTTATTTATTTATTTATTTTTATTTTGGCCCTACTTAACGCCTCAACTAACGACTTGAATAGTAGGGGTCTTCCGCACGAAAAATGTCATCTAGAGGGATTTTCTACCAATCAAAAAGGATAGAGAGGTATTCTGCAGTAGAGGCAAAGGTCAAGGTGATTTTGCACTGATTACTCATCATTGGGGTCTTTGGGTTATAATTTGTTTAGAGCCAGCTTATCTAGGCTTGTAGAACTGCAAACTCAGGGAGTTGGGGACATAATGCTGAACAAATACCCAATTTGCGCATTTACGGCCATGCCAATGATACTAAGAGCATATTTATGATTTTGAGAAGATGAGGCATCAATTCACCAACATATTTTTGAGATTTCATAAAGCAAACTTATCTAGGTCGCGCTATTGAGGGGGCTACATCTGTTGCTCAAAGCCTAAGAGCTGAAGCCAGGAATGCGACCTCAAACTTACATTATACGTATGGCCAACTCATCCTACTTTATCTTGTGTTCAGAACCTAGAGTCGTAGCTTAGACCTAAGTCCATTATAACAAGTTCATTGCTTTGGAAATAATTTGAATTTGAAATCTTATCAATTCTCCACATAAATCAGTGCCTGACTTTCACAATGAAATCAGAGAGAAAATAAGTAATTACTATATGTATGAAAACCAATGATTTACAATTTACTTTATGGTCAACCAAATTATACTATTACTTTTTTTTTTTGATAGGTAAATTATACTATTACTTTTTACTAGCATGTAATTATAATTTACAAGCATTCTCATGACCTGAGTAGTGTTTTTAGAGGCAAAAGGTAAACACAATATGTTCCATAATGGGGCCAGGCAAAATTTTGAGGGAAGGGAAAAAGCCTTTCACGTGTTTATTTTCTATATTTACAAATTTAATAAATATTCTAGAACGAAAAAGGTCATCGTACTAGATTGAACATGATGCCCAAAAAACATTCATATAAACTCAAGTTTATTACGAATAAGGTTTAGCGTATGCATATTAACTATATAATTACACACGCATATATATGTGTAAGTCGAAATATAGATCCCAAATAATGAGACGGACAATCATAATACTCAAGTGAGAAACATGCTCAAAGGATAGGCGATTTATTTAATGAATTCAAAGCTTCACACTCTCCCTTCTTTCCCTCTCTTGATCTAATACCCAAATCCTCACCTACATTTTTCATAAATTAGAGGATAATACTTGAGTGCAATAAATACACAGATTAAAGTATTTAAAAAAATTCAAAGCACCATACTCACCCCTCTTTCCCCTCTTCATTAGAACTTATCACGCAAAAACTTCAAAACATTGAGGAATCATGTCACATCTCTTTTCTAATTTCCTAGGTGCCTCTTCCAACTTAGGGCATTGCAGGAGGACCTTACCAATAAAATTTTCCTAGTTCAACTAATATATAAATATAGAATATTAAGAATAAGAACAGATTTTTACATGGGCTGACTGAACCAGGTACAATGGAATTAATTCACATACGTGCACTAGTATGGATATCACTGAAGATGTTCATAAAGAATAAAGCTCGCCACTTAAAAATAATGGTAGTTTAAATTATGTGGCAGGACAACTGCAGAGTGGAAGTTAACAGAAAAGAGAGAAAAAGAACACAGAAGATAAGGAGAAATCATTTTTTATGAAACAGATTTTGTTACAATATTATTATCATGTCATAGAAACAAACGTTTATCCAAAATCCAATTCCGACCAACTTAATAACAGATCTAGAAATCCATGACACATAACTGATCCATAATTTCCAAAAGATACCTACTTGAATAATCAGAGGATAAAATAGCTGTCGGTCAAATATAGCAATAAATATTCGAAATCTCTACTGAATGACTAAAAAATAAAAAACGGTTTGAAGTCTTATACCATTGTGAAATCACAAATATGATGAAATTGAATAGAAATTATAGTACAATCTCATAACAAATTTTCTATTTCTTTGTTCAAATCACTAGTGAAGATATGACCAGAAAACATAGTATAAATAGGTTGAGAGAAATCACCGAAAGAAGAACAGCAGTCTCTGCTCCCTGCGAATCCTTGAAGGTAACAAATGCAATTTGAGACAGTTCAGTATCACTGCATAAGTGTATTAGTCACTGTCAGTATGAAAACATGTGCATGCATATTTACATGCATAGATATGAATAGATAGTACACAAAAAACATGAGCAACTCAAAGCTAACCTTTTCATCTCAACAAATTCGATGTCACCAGAAAAAGAAAAGAACTCCGTTACATCACGCTCAGATGCCCCTAGGGATAAATTGCTGACTTTGACCGTTCTAATCTAAAAAGGTTGAAGAGGGTAAACATTGTTAAGAACGAATTAACAAAATGAGTTATACGATTTTCAGATCAGATAGATTAATATACAACAAGACAGCCGTATACACATATACTTATAAAAGTGGAATTGGACCCACACAATTGCAGATGTCAATACCCATTTTAGTTTTAGTACCTGCAGATTTTCAATTATAGATACTTTAATTTTTTCCAAATATACCGTTCATTAATCAACAAGAAGAAATGATCCCTCAGAAATATCTTCAATACAGATAAAGCACTATCAATGTACAGGTAAACATATACCCATAGGCTCCACATCTTAGGCTGATCATGACCAGGGTCATTGGTACAGGCAACAGGATCCATAAGGACTATTGTATAAGAACGTGGCCACTAACCATTTACAAGCTTTGCGTGCAAATTTCTCATTATCTGAATATTTTCTCCAACACTCTTCGTCGTGAATGTGCAACAGCATACTAACATTCACTTTACTAGCAACAATCATATCTGCTGACAACTAAATAGCATAAAACTTGACCGACTAATTTTGAATATGAAGCACTGATGCCACTTCCACTAACACATCCTGACAACAAAAACAAGGTCAAACGTACTAAGCTCACATCAACTGCGCTTTTATCCACCAACGCAATGTTGACAGCTCGAATTCTCTCATGACATCATACTGCATTACAAATATCTTGGGTTTTATCACCAGAAGCTCTCTTGTCCGATACATCCAAGTATATAACATGAAAATAAGTCTCATGTTAGAATTAATTAGCATCTTGTATATAGTTAGCTGTAGCCCCTAGATTATTCATTGCCTTAATGTGCCAGACAGGTGTATAGATAATATTTTTATCACCAATGGCAAGGTCAGATATAACACATCTCATTACCGAAAGTATGACTCAACCAATTACTAAGAAAGTAAAGTTAAATCAATGAATAGCCCATCGTCAATCCTTGAGCAAGATAAAACTAGAGGATATATCCTAACGTTCAAATCATGTGACGAACATGAATGTTTAAAAGTGGGTAAACCTCAAAAGAGCAGCAATATTATTCACCAACAAATTTATAAACACTATGAGTATTGTGACATTATGGGTCCTAGTTCATTGAGAAGAGCAATCACAAACCTCCATATCAGTTGGTAACAGAATTTGATTTAAGATTTTGTAATAGAATCATCTTTCAACTTAGAGGCCCATAAAGATGTGGTTCTTTGACAAAGAACAGGTAAGCATATAGTAACCGAATCCCCAGTGATAACAGATCATCATAAAAGTCAGATAATTGTGAAAGAAAGATCATTCCAACAAAAGTTTCTGTGCTTCTGAATTTATATTTTCATATTCTCCACAAGTTTAATTTCAGAACAATTAACCAATCTTCAAAATTACATTTCCATAATAATGATAGGGTAAATTTCAGGTAATCATTTGCAACGATGTATGAAGAATTTAATCAACTAACAGAATGTGAAGCACCCAATTCTACCAAAAACTACAGCTAGTATCAAACGCGCAAATTTATTCCTTAATTAACTAGGAACAAGCCGGGAATCCACCCCAAGCACATGACAGAAGTGATGGTCAATTACTGGGAAAAAGAAGTTCCCGTTAATACAGAGAAGAAAAAAAAATTCTACCTCATTCAAAAAATAAATAAATAAATTCAACACATTAAACCAAAGATAGCTAAAAATCATCAAAAAATAAAAAATGAAAACCCCAAGTCCCCATTTTCTTTCAGAGTTCAAGAAGGAATCCATCTACTCAAACAAATCAACACAAAACCATTTCAACCTACTGCACATATATATATATATAGCAATGAATGTATATACTCACCGTCATGATATCTGTTGTGGGCGAAGAAAAAGTCAATAAAAAATGCTGTTGAAGATGAATTCGGAGGGTTTTGAAGCAACAGCTTTGACGGGATTACGGAGTAGTAAATGCAGCCACGCTGAATCTTGAATAATGATTTAAATAATTTGTCATTTACAGGTCCACACGGGATTCGTATTTCAAGGAATGGCCTTTTTCTAAAAACTAGCATATATGACCCCTTGAGTTACACTAATTTTGTATTTATCGTATTTTTATTAATATATAAATTTTAATTTTTTTAAAATATTTTTAAAATAATATCTAAAAATATTTTTATGATATAAAAAAATAATTGTAAATTATTTTCACAATTACACAGCGATATGTTATCTAGAAAAAATATGCTTTTATATTTCATATTTGAATAAGAAATATACAAACTATTTTATTTGTATTCTTTGATAATGTTGATATGATTGAATTGAATGTGAAGGTTATATTTCTAAATTTTGTGTAATTCAATATTATAATGTAATTCAATATTATAAAATTGAAAAAAAAACTCTATGTACAGTGCGCAGAGAGTTGAATCAAGTGTGAAGTAAAAATTAAAAAAAAGTGCGGAGAGAAAAAATTCTTTCTACACAGTGCGGAGAGTTGGTCCGCATCATGGCAAAACTCTCCGTACAGTGCAGAGAGGAAAAAACTCTTCGCACAATGCGTAGAAAGTTGAACCATATGGGAAGCAAAAAAATATAAAAAAAAAAAGTGCGTAGAGAAAAAAAACCTCTCCACATAGTACGGAGAGAGTTGAACCATGTGTGGAGAGTTGGCAAACTCTTCGCACGGTGCGGAGTAAAAAAAAATTCTTCGTACAATGCGGAAAGATGATAAACCAGCTCTTCGGACAGTACAGAAAGAAAAAAACTCTCCGCACAATGCGAAGAGTTGTTTTCAAATTCCTTAATTACAAATCAAATTTCAAGATTGTAAATTTTTCGTATATACAACTAAACAGAGTCGAAAAACATGGCTTAAAATCAATTATATCTTCTTTAAATTACAATGACAGTGAAATTTTTGAGCATGCAAATCATATTTACGGTATTGGAAAGGAGCTTTCTCGTGATTCATACAATGAAAAAATATGTGAGTTGTGCAAAGAAGGGAATATTGATAGTACCATGACATTGCTTTCACAAATGGAGGCTCTAGTGTACCACCAAAATTCAATATTTTACACTTGATAATAGTTCTTAGACATTAGAAGCGGATACAATTTTCAATGAAATTATACTTTCGAGTTGTAGGTCAGAAATTAAATTGGTCAATGCATTGCTCAAAAGTTGTTTGAGAAAAGGCCTATTAAAACTTGCAGATAAAGTCCCGAAAATTTTTGTTTTTCTCTTTACAGTGTGCGGAAAGATAGTTTGCCATCTTTCCACACTTTGGGAAGTTTTTTTTTTTTTGTCTCATAAAGTTTATATATACTAAAATTATTATTCGTTTTTTATGTTGCTAGCATGATGCGTGTGTGGAAGAATATTTTTCAATCACTATAAACAAAATTCTTCACAAAATGCAAAAAATAAGAATGCATAATAAATATTCTTATTATGCTAATAAAATTAAAATAAATTTTTTTTTTTACAAATAATATAAAAAAATCATTTTTCTCTTCAACAAAAAAATACATTTAAAAATTAGCAATTTCATAGCCATTTTTTTTTTAATTCTTGAAAATACAATTATAAAAAATGAAACAATATTGAATTGTACATTTAATATTTAAAAAATTCAATATTAAATAAATTTTATACATTTATAACAAATTATAAATCCATATATGCACCTTACCGTATTTGCAGGCAATTTACCTTGTACACTGGCTACCGTATTTGCAACTTACCGTATTTTCAGCATACCATATTTGTATCTTACTGTATTTGCACCTGACCGTATATGCTACCTGCCGTTTTTGCAACTTACCGTATTTGTCAACAACTTACCATATTTTCACTTTACCGTATTTTCAACTTACCGTATTTGCAACTTACTGTATATGCTACCAACAGTATTTGCAGCTTACTATATTTTTATATACCGATTTTTGCACTTACAAATACTGAGAATGCAGAACACCGTACATTTACTTACCAAACCAAATTTCAAAAAAAAAATTCAGATTTTTATTTTTTCAACATAAGCATAAAATAAATATTAAATATATATGAAGCACAAATATAAATGCATATGAATATGGTGCTCAATCTCCAATTTTTCAATATTGAATTACACCAAATTTAGAAATATAATTTTCACGTTCAACTTAATCATATCAATACTATCAAAGAATACAAAAAAATAATTTGTATAATCTCGTATATTTCTTATTCAAGTATGAAATATACAAGTATATTTTTTCTAAATGACATAATACTGTTATGTAATTGTAAAAATAATTTGCAATTATTTTCTTATATCATGAAAATATTTCTAGATATTATTTCAAAAAACTAAAATTCATATACTAATAAAAATACGATAAATGCAAAATTCGTGTAACGCACGTGACAGTCACTCTGCAAAGAGTTTATTTTTTATTTTTTAACTTCACATTGTACGGAGAGTTTGCCAACTCTTCGCACTGTGCGACTTTTTTTTTTTTTTTTTTTACTTTTTTACTCTACACTGTACGGAAAGTCCACACTTTGTGAGGACAGTGTCCGCACAGAATGACATCTCTCCACACTATGTGAAGAGATTTTTTATTGTTTTTACTTCACACTGTACGGAGAGGCAAACTCTCCGCACATGGTTTGTCATCTCTTCGCACTGTTCGGAGAGTTTATTTATTATTTTTTTTAAAACTCATGTGTGAAGAGTTTTTTTTTCTCATGACAGTTTATATTTACTAAAATTATTATTATTATTTTTTAATGCTAGTGACATGATGTGTGGAAGAACATTTATTTGACATAATTATTTTTTTAATACTAGTAGGACGATATGTGAAAGAACATTTATTTGACATAAAAAAAATGAAAAATAAAAAATGACATCATCCATAGTAAAATTGGATTCATTTACAATTGCATAAAAAGTAGACCTCCTCCCCTTTTTTATTAGAAGTTAGAAATAATAATAATAATAAAAGGAACGGCCTTTTTCTTATTCATTTCCGTGAAGATTTCTTAATATTTTGTATGAGCACTTGTTTGAGCCACTTTATTTTCATGAAAATATATTTTTGAATAGTGCATTGATGAAAAATATATAATTAAAAAATAAAAAAAAGTTTTGAATTTTCTTGTAATATTATTTTATTGAAAAATGTGTGGTTGAAAAAATGTCAAATAACTATTTAAAAATATTTTTTTTTTGAAATAATGTAGATCAAACAGGCTATAAATGTGTACTCGCTGGCACGTGCAGATCTGCACATTCAGAGCATTTATTATTATTATTATTATTATTATTATTATTATTATTATTATTATTATTATTATTATGTAGACTTTTCCATTATTATTATTATTTCAGATATATCTGATATTCCTATTTATTTGTAAGTGCTGATCAATTTAATGTTCATTTTATTATATTCATGGCCAACTTTTAATAACCATGTGTAGTGTTACATTGATTCACACATCTCATCTATGATGATGGTTTTCGTCCAAAAAAGTTCATTAGGAGGACATATAAAAACTTATTTTTCACTTATATTTTTAAAAACAAAAAGCTAACCAAAATATTTGCCATAATTCAAAGCATACAAACAACATCGTCTGTGATCGGATGTGTTGGTTAATTGACGGGTAACGATAAGAATAAGCAAAGGTTGGGGACATAAGTACAACAGTAAGTAAATTTGGAGATCTTCATTACAAATAAAAAGTGGTGCAGCAAATAGATCGTGAGGCTTAACGTTCACTCATATACATTCTTAATATGATTGTCATTTAATTTAGAAACATTACATCTATAGTTTCCAATTTGTTGAAAAAGTAGAATTTAGATCTTCAAGTTAATATCGTTAGCATCACATCTCAATCCTTATTTTTATTTATTTATTTTAATACTTGGATTGTTACCTACGTCATTGAGTAAAAAACTATTTTAGTTAAAAGTACAATTTTACCCTTATATTTAATTAAATGAAAAATAAAAAGATGGGAATTCGTGATTTTATTTGTGTCAAACATACCAAACATATATACACAATTTTCTCATACATCTGAACATCACTACAATATAAAAGATACTAACTTTGGCACTATTCAAGGAGGAAACGTGTTAGTCATTCATTTCGTCAACGTCCAATTCATTTTTTCGCCCAATCAATAAACCATGTCGTATGGAGATTTTTGAAATTTTATTAGAACAAGCACGTGGCATCGTTTTACTCATTAAGCAAAAAAAATAAAATGCCACGTCTTTACTCTTTCTCTATTTTCCCCACAAGCCTTAAATTTGATACACGCAACTCCACCTTTACCATTTTTTTGTCTTCCCACTCAACCAACCAGACCTCTTTACTCCTCCATTCCCCCCACACAATGACCCATATTGTGCAAGATTTCTCCTTTCTTCTCCTATCTTTTTGAATTTTTTCTCTCTATGATCTTCTCTTTATATGCTGCTCTAATTTCGTCAAAAAAAAAAAAAAAATTATTTGACCATCTCATGACCTTCATTTTATTTTATTTTTTTGCAAGGTTTGAATTTTTCATTGTCTAACATGTAAGATTGAGAAAGAGATTTCTCAAAATAATGATTAAAACAAGGTATTTTGGTAACTAAT